TATCGCTTCTTTAGCTCTGCTTTCACTTTAGAACAAAATAAACTATAACTAGAAATGTCTTTTATATTATTTGGCAAATTATTGAACAGTTCTGAGGCGATATCTTGAAAAGTTCCCTTTTCCAATGGTCTGACCAAATTCAAGGTGGAACTTTGACGTAAAGTTCTTGATGGTTTGCGAACTTCCAGTGCAACGTAGTTAGGCCAGTGCTCTGAGTTAATGGCTTTATAGATGACTTTCAGCAAGTTATAATCTCTACGTTCACGCATTGGTGTATTGGTATATTCCGGCTCTAAAACTCATTATGCAGTGACTACCTTTGACAGTAAGTCATCCAGTAAAGTAAGAAAGAAAATAACAGCATTCTTTAACCTCTCTTTGGGCGGTCTAACCAGGCTAAGCGACCGGTCATTTTTATCGCCTGGGGTGGAGGGTGGGGGATGTACATTAATTAATTGACAACCCCCACCCCCCACCCGGAAAGGCCAATATAGAGTGATAAAGAGTACAAACGAATGGTAAAATCAAGCAAACGCATAGAGCAATATATATTTTCTAGTATACGGATGATTGGTGTGTTCATCCAGCGCGGCCGTCCTGCTCTGTCCGGTACATACCACCAAACGATGACGTAATTCGTGCGGCATACGGCCCATCTTGGGAAAAAAAAGTAAGTCTTTGCTTTATAAATAGTCTTTCAAGAGAATATATACTGAAATAGTCTTAGATAACTGCATTATTATTTATTTATTTTTTGCTAGTTTTGAATTTATTGAAAGATTTTGCCGGAATCATTTTATTAGCCTACCACTTGGGCTTCCTGTGGTGGCATGCGTAAGTCTTGGTCGCGCAGCCTCGTTTAAGAGCAAATCGTTCACAAAAGTCAACTGCGCTAACTTAACTCGCTTGGAGACCCTGGAGATCAAACCTCCACGATTTCTAGCAACGAGTCTGCATTTGCCAGTCTTGATCCAATTAGTTTTGATCTAACTTCAGTTGCTGGTTCAATCGATTTGTCCTCGTTTCGAAGGAAGAATGGCAATACACCAGCAAATATCACAATACCACCAGTAATGAAGAAGGCGGGAATATATGACTGGAAGCAATCTGCGATAAATCCTGGGGAAAAATAGGAAAACTTATCAATTACACCGACAATAATTTAAACTTTTACTTACACACTATCAGCAAGTGTGCAAGTGTACTACAAACAGCCTAAAAAGTTTTTTTTCAAATGCAAGCGTCATTTTAACGGAGACTCAATCATTGCCAAAAGTAGAAACGAATTCCACTTTTCGCGATGTTCCATGCAACATGTAGCGCAACGCCGTAGCGAGACAACAGCGAGACAAGTTGCAAAGAAAAATTGCTTCGCGTAATCGCGCCTTAACTTACCTGCAGTTGGGGCTCCGGAGAACAGAGCGATGGATGACGTCATMATTCCAATGCTAAAACTCGCAGAAGCTTTCCTTAAATCAGTAAAACAAGTTAAAAAGAAGACACATTGAGTTGTTACAAAGGCACCATTGCCAAATCCAAAGAATATAGAAAACACGATGAAATGAGTATAGATTTTAGCTTGAGTCAATAGTATTAAAGCAATTCCGACAACGAACGAAGACAGTTGAAGAGCGTGAAGGGAACTAAGCCATCCTTTGTCCAGGGCTTTGCCGATGACGACGCGAATAATAGTCGAACACACTCCGATGTAAATGAAAAGGAGAGAAGCCTTGGATCCAGGTATTCCATTCTCTTTTGCAAAACGAACCTGTGGGGGGAAAAATGGACGCTTTTCTCATGAACGAAAATGGACCTTTCCAAAATTCGCTTGGATGACCACGTAGCGATGACTTGAAGTTGAGAGTGAACTTGATTCTTTTATTCATCAAGTCAAACCTCGACTTGAAACCATTGTTTCGTGATCAGTCAAGCGAATTCGTGAATAGTCCGAGTAAGTACGGTTTCATAGCAACCATGTCGTAGGGTAGGGTCATAGCAACCATGTCGTAGGGTAGGGACATAGCAACCATGTCGTAGGGTAGGGACATTTTGCCACAGGTTTGAAGTAAACTGTGTATGAAGTATACGATTAGACCTCCCCCCCCCCCCCCCCTCCCTTCTCAACGTTTGTACCCCACTCTCAAAAATTCATGGATCCACACTTGAACTTTAAAGCTTAATCTATAATATTCAATAGAACGTAGTTTCCTTACCAGGTGAATCGTTGGAACATAAAGTCCAAAAAACGTCAAAAATACTGAGATCGAACCAACGATATACTTCGTACTTCTCCACACAGAACAATCTATTATCCCCGAGTACCTCGACTTTCGTCCATTAATCTCTATATCACGAGTAGCAAACTTTTTGTCTGGCGCGTCTACCTCTACATTCGGATCAAAGGAGACACCTAGCGCACTTATGAGAAACATGACACTAGTCATGATTCGTAAGGTGCCTCTCCAACCAAAACTGTCAATCAAGACTTGTAAGACAGGCCCTAAAACAAGGACTCCGAGACTGGAACCAGACGTGGTGATTCCTATCGCTATTGAAAGATTCTTCCTGAAGTATTTCCTTAGGATAATCATGAAGGTGTTTATGCAGAAACAGGAGCTCAAGCCAAGAAGCATTCCGTGCGAGAAGTAGAGGATGTAGATATTCTCGACATAGGAGCTGACAATCAAGAAAGCAGCATTGCATAGACCGCTGCAAATCATAACAGTTCGCTCGCCGAAATGTTCTATAATCTTTACCACCAAAGGACCACAGAGGAAAGCAAAACCGACTTGCATAGAACCGATCCAAGCTAGAAGGAATCAAAAAAATAAATAGGTGAGAGACTGGATTAATATCTTGGGGGAAAGGAAAGTAGTGTAGGACAAGATGATGCAGAAGTCTTTCAGCTTCCTTGCAAGCTATAGTTTCGTTTGCAAAGTGCTGTGGTGTAGTTGTAATGCTCGTTTCCATTCTCGAGCGTCTTGGGTTAAATTCCCAGACTCGGCATCACGTGCGTGTTGTTTCAGGGTTCAATCTGTGAGTCAGCCATGCGTCGACTTAGATCAGCCCAGAAATTGTTTCAGGGGTGGATCTGTGAGTTAGCCATGCCCTGGCTTAGATCAGCCCAGATGTTGTTTCAGGGTTCGATCTGTGAGTTAGCCAAGCCCTGACTTAGATTGGCCCAGAGATTGTTTCAAGGGGGAATCTGTGAGTTAGCCGTGCCCTGGCTTAGATCAGCCCAGAGGTTGTTTCAGGGTTTTATCTGGGAGTTAGCCTTGCCCTAACTTATTTGCTTTGATTTTTTCTTTTACCTGTGGTACCCCTGCTCGCTCCAAAATGATCACTGAGCACGGGTAACAAAACACCAAAACTTAGCAGATACCCGAACAGTAGACAATTGATCATCATGGTAGCGAAACACACAAACCACGCCCACGGTCCGTCACGTGGGTGGGGTGACGCCGAACTGTTGCAAAGCGACATCTAAGAATGAAAAAAATACGTCAGAGAAACCCAAATGTAAGATATATTTTAGTTTCTTTATTTCACGAATCCTGCGTTCTGTTAGCGAACAATGGCAGCTAACTCGAGTTTTTAATTTAATTTCAAAATTGTTTGTATCCATTTCTTCGGCCGACTAGTGAGTTTAGACTAAAACAATTAGACGCTGTTCGTCCTCATGGTACCTCATAACCCATGCATTTGGCCTTTGGGGCTTAATAGACAGGTAGTTTCAATCTCCAGTGACAGGCAGCCAAGTTAGTAATATAATAACATTGTTATTAATATTTATATTATTATAATTTATTAATTTTCCTTCCAAAACCACGACGTCTAGAGGCTGCCAAGATGTCATATAAAGCATAAAGAATACTCCAAGGTTTTCACTCATCGGCTTCAAAGATTCCCCGAAAAACTTAGCAAACAAAAGACGGTAGCCAAGTTAGTGCCAATAAACAAACAAGACGATGAAAATATATTTTTCGTTTCATAATATTTTTGGTGAGATGTGTTACGAACATCCTCTAAAGAAAGAAAGAAGTTCCTATCATATTAAATTCATTAACTTACAGTCTTGCGTTTTATTCGTGTTTTGACTAGCGTAAATTTTTTTTTCAGGGGATGGAAAAAGTTGAAAACTTCCATCGTCTGCTACAGATGTACTGGTAATTTCTTTACTTTAAAGCTGTCCTTGTTTTCACCGTTATTATTAACTGCTTTTCAAAACTAGAAATGGTGTGAGGTATTTCAGTATTTCGTACCGTGAATCTGCAGTTAGTTTGCCAATCAGGATACTCTTTACCAAAACAGAGGTAGCAAATTCAAATGAGCCAAATTAAAAGCAATACAAGCACTAGAAAGAACACTCAGTAACCTTACAAAGATTCATTCAGGTGTTATGATATATGGTAATATCGTCCGAGAAAACTTTAGTTGAAACCCGGACAAATCGTCATGTGACCCCCACTCATACAAACCTGACATAATATATCTTTGTAGGGTTACCAAAGTAAAGGTTCTATTCAGTTCTAGTGCTGGTATTCACTCAGTATAATTTCAACTTTTTTGAATTTGCGACAGTCTTTGGCAAAGGTTCTATTCAAAGGAGATATTTGTCTTCTTTGTTCAAGATGCATGCCTATGGTCTTACGAAAGCTATTGAATTATGTAAAATAAGTTGGCAAATCTGCCTTCAATTCTGTCATACTTTTTACTCCAATTTCTTTCCTGTTTAACATATGTGTTTGGCTTGGTACAATTAAGATTTACTGAGTGTGTGCTTACCACATCGTTTTTGTACAAATCTAGTTGGGTGGTCATTTGAAGTAGTGGTTTGGTGATCTCGTTAGCCACAGGGTGACCATAACAAAGGACTCACTGAGCCATAAACACATTACACCGTATCATTATGAGCAATAATCTATGATTTGCTTATGATCTAAGCAAGAACTACATCGTGGTAAAAAACAAACCCTGTTAATAAAGTCACTTCGTTTAAAAAACGAAAGGAGTTTGTATCATTTGCGTAGCTTAACAGCAGATGTCATACCATGAAGACTTGTCTGAGTATAAACTACTTGTGGTCTAGAAAAATAGCAGTGGCGAAGGACAATCAAAACAAGAATTACACTGCATTTTGACCTTCGCCATTTCAAGATATCTGTCTTAAGAGTTCAATAGCTGAATTTTCTGATCACAAAACTCTTAAGTCGTAATAATCGTCATGATAACATTTCAATATGCAAGGGTTAGATGGTCTTGAAGGTTTCTACGGTAATGTGGCTCGTCTGTTGGTGCATGTGTTCTAAGTGAATCGTAATTGTTAAAATTAAAGCTTAATTTCTTTACCTTTTTCAATAATGATTTTCAACAAATCAGTTTATCGGTAAAAACAAGCCATCGACTGGAAACAAGTTGGGGAAGTGATGACAGACACATCAATTAAACTTCGTGCAGACGTAGGCGGTGTACATGTATGTAAATATTTCTGAATAATATTTGTTAGTCAAATTTAACGCAAACTTAACTAATCAATTTGAATTATTTATGAGATTCACAACAAGTATACAAATGCCTAGGTCTAAAAGATTTAGAACATTGAATGTAAACTTAAATTGTAAATAATCGTATCTAAGTGGTTTGTTTTAAAAGTACAAGTTTCATGTGACCTAAAAGAATTTGCTGCTCGAGCATCGGGCCATCCATTTTGATAGAGAGTTTTCACCGGTCTACTAACTCTATTTTCTTTGCCGCCGGCCGGAAAATATTTATATATTGTTAGCAAAACCCTCTTCGATGCCACCTTGAAGCGTATGTAAGCTTAGGATTACTCTTGTCCTCTCTAAATCGATCTATTATTACGGTGTATCTGAAGCGCAATATAGCAGATGGAAGCATATGAGGCTGTGCTGGAGACTTTCGGCCCCTAAACCGCTATCTAGTGACTGATCACGAAGGTCAGCCGAAGCATAAGGGAGAGGTTAGTTGGCCACTAGACCGTGTGTGATTAACCCCTAGCTATGACAAACTAAGACCAACGAGTTCAATATTTTCCTTTTGTTAAAAACTCTTTTGGTCACTATGGTCCATGTGAGACATGATTGAAAATTCATCCAGCCAGAGTGATTGTCACGCGCCGTTACCTTACCTTTCTACTGTTTTCTCCTTTTTTCTTCGGCTTCTTCTTCTATAAGAAGAGCCTTTCTGACCGTAAACAATTAACTTATTTTCCATGACCAGGAAACCGCTCATTTGATCACTTAAAAGAAATTACTATAGACAAGAAATTGTTCCATGGCGGTCAAAGGAAATTCAAACAGGATGAGGATTGTTCTTGCAACATCATAGAGATTACCACTGACCCCTTCTCCCTCCCCTCTCCCTCCCCTCTCCCCTCCCCCTTCCCCCTACACTTTTATAAGAAAATGTATGTAGTAACTAGATTTTGCTAAAGTTTTGAAGTAGCTTTGCTCAATCTTAATTTCTTCTTGGGCTTTGAGATAAAATCTTCTTGCCTTGCTTTTTCACTCTTGTGTAAGCACTGCTGAAAAGTCATGGTTTCGGTTTGTGAGCTACCCGCAGTGCTTGTGCTCGAAAGATGACTGGATAATGGCATGGAATTACCAACTAAAGCACGTGAAATTTCTTCTTGGATCGTTTTTTCTTATCCCTTCTTCCAAAGAACGCTCAGTAGTACTTCCAGTGTTGGCGCCGGCCATCTTGGAATACACGAGGAACCTTGAGCCCACAGTTTTCTACCGCTGGTAAGCTATGCGCGCGCAGAGATTTTTTTTTGTTTGCAGTGCGATTTTTACTTTTGTTTGCAGTGCGATTTTTACTTTTGTTTGCAGTGCGATTTTTACTTTTGTTTGCAGTGCGATTTTTANGTTTGCAGTGCGATTTTTACTTTTGTTTGCAGTGCGATTTTTACTTTTGTTTGCAGTGCGATTTTTTTATTCGCATTATTATTTTCATTTTTTGTGCGCAATTTATTTTGTTTACAGTGTGAGATGTTTCATTTGTGGTGTCCCCGTATGTTCGTGAATATGTGATGCTTTATCAGAATGTAGGTGCTCCTTTACTCTAGTTCAAAAATGTCGGGTTGAGAGTTGTTAAGAGTCCTATCTACCAGAGTTTTTGTTAACTAACCCCAATTTGTAAACAACCCGGAGGGGGGGGGGGGGGGGTTTACCCGGGGGGGGGGTTTACCACCCCAACTTGGATAGGGGTGTGCCGCCAGGACCTCAAAACCCTGACCCTATCCCAGACCTAAAATTTTGATTTTACATATCCTACCCCAGACTAAAACTAAGAATTGTACACCCTATCCCAGACTAAAAGAAGGAAAATACGGTTATTCAATAGATTGCAATCAATATTTACTAACGTTTTTATTGTTTTTGTGCCGGCAGAAAGCGTAGTCTATTCGCCAGACAAAAATGACCAAATCGTTAACCCTATACCAGACAAAAATGATACCCTATCCCAGACAGAATGTCAAAAAATGATACCCTACCCCAGACCCAAAAGCCAAAAAACCATACTCTATAGGGCGGTACATACCCGTATAGCAAATGTAGGGGAGTACCCCCCCTCCCCGGTAAACAATGGGTGTGAAGCTAGAAAAACTAGTGAGTAATCCAGTATTTGTTTTCTTACGGAAAACTGACGTGCTGACATGAGTTCCGGAGTTGTCTATGTATACATCAAAAAGGGTAATTTATGATCAGTTTCCGTTTCCAAGGTAAGTCGAATGTTGGGATGACGAGAGTTGATGAACTCGCGCTATGCAGATGATACTTCATTTGCAACGATTGTTTAGGGTTCAATAACGACATTGATTTACTCATTAACATTCTAAGAAAAATGCATTTCCATCTAAATTAATACACGAAATCATTACTCTAGAGTCACCAAATTTGTAGATAACGAAAACAGTATTTCCAGTAACAAACAGGATCTCAATCTCTTTTACTATAAACAGCCATATATCGGCAAGTTCTCGAATATTGTTCAAAAACGCTTAAATAACATTGCCAACAATTATCGTAAAGACATCAACATCAGATTAGCATTTTCATCTTGCAAAATTGGGAGCTTTTTTAGCACGAAAGATCTCATTCCCAAAGGACTTCACTCTAGTATTATTTATAAATTTACATGCGCAGGTCGTGGAGCCTGTTACATTGGGGAATCAACCCGACAGTTTTGTATTAGAGTAAAGGAGCTCCTACATTCTGATAAAGCTTTACATATTCACAAACACCTACGAAGCTCAGAAAATTGTTCTCTCACATGTTCTGAAGAATGTTTCACAATTATAGATCAGGCCTCATCTACCGTCCAACTTAAAATCAAAGAAGCCTTACCACAGGTAGCCCAAGCTTGGTTTCTGTGGTGTCCTGCTATAAGGAAATGTATGGAGATTCATCAAAAATTTCAATAAAATCATTGGAACGTTAAATAAAGCCTCGAAAGTTTACCCGATCATTGAGAAATAGCTTTTCTTTTGAACTGCGTGGTTATTTTTTGAATTTAGCCCGTTTTAAGATTTTTTCCCCCCACCAGTAAGAAATAAGAGAAGGTTGGAAACTCTCTCTCTATCTTATTTCTTACTAGCTGGTGACTACTACACTTAAACCTCAAAAAATATATATATATATTGTGCAACCTCTTCTGCTAGAAGAAAAATATCCAACTGTACACAAAAAATCATGCAACCAAAATTCCTGCCAATCCCCCACCGCCATCAATTATTTACTGGTTCATCACATAGGTATTTATACATTGTGCAATCTGCATCACGATATTATAAAATCTGAAGATGGCAGACGTTTAATAAATACTGCCGAAACATGTCATTCAAACTAAAAAGTGTCGTGTTTGTTATAAAAATAGTAGGAAGTCTGCTTCTAAACCGTATACTTATAGAATACCCCGCAAATCATATGCACATACTTAATGACCATGAAATCTATTGTTGTAGCGTCGTTCTTCAAACAGTTCCGACAACTGCATATCATTTGCAGGGTATTCGATTATAGCTTCCCGACCTTTTAATAAACCAATTCTGATGAAAGCTGTTGCATCTAGTCTCCCCCACAGCCACTTTCTCAGGGGAGAAAGCGTTGCGTACGTTGCGTGACGACAATGAAAGCAGCTGTGGGGAAGACTAAACCCAGGACGCCCTGCTAAACCTCATCGCGAAAGCGCTAAATCGGAAATGTCTAGTCTAATAAATAGGAAAAAACCGGTTTTCAATACAAGTTTTGTAAGCGTAAGTCTCACCAACGCGACAAACAAGTTTCAAACTGGTTTATATGTCTTACTTATTTCCTTTGCAGGACCGTAACCAGGGGGGGGGGAGCACAGGGTGCACGTGCACTCCTCCCCCCCATAAAAGCTTAAGGTCCGCTCATCTATCTCCATTTGCTTTAAAATTACATGTAAATGTTTTTATTTTATTTTGGATCTCTTTTTCTTTCTTTTTTTCTTTTTCTTTTTTCTTTTTTCTTTTTTTTATTATTTTGGTTCTGTGCACACCCCCCCCCCTGCAAGATCCCTTGTTTACGCCACTGCTTTGATCGCACAAGACATGATTCAAAGCACGTTGGAAGCCAAGCAAGAAAGTAGTCAGATTATTTTCTCTCTAAGGTAATGATTCTAAAACATTTACATTCTTTATTTTTCAGGTGACTCCAATACAATCTATGTATTAAGAATCTTTAATGAAAATTGGTCGATTTTGAAGAAAAAATAATACTGAAAAACCAAACTGTTAAGAAATCCGGCGGCCGGTATGGCAAACGGGACGTAAAACTTCGACCGAGTTAAAAACAATATCCCTAAATTCACTCGCAATTATAGTTATGGGTACGGGCTCGACTTTCTCAAGAACTAGAGTAGCTTCAATATTTTTGCAGCCAAGAGAATACCCCCGAAAATCTAGCATTTCTTTTCATATTTTGCGATTTATTTAAGCTTAAGTTTTGCCGTAAATGGTTTTCGTGTTACAGTGTAAATACAATGTAAGTCTTATGATTACTGTGAGACTGGTATTTCTACGTTTGAATAAGAATATTTCATATTGTTAGTGTGATTTTTAAGGCTAATTAAAAGCAAAACCCACAAATGGGATATGACCCATCGACGAACTGTCTACCGAAGCTTAACATTTGATGACGGCGAAATATTACAAGAACCTGTTTTACCGGAATACTGTACTCGTGACGTAATTAGTATTTCAAGAGCCGTCAGGCAAAAGAAAACAAAAAGCCGCCATATTTGTTAATACTTTCTAATTGTATAAAGCTTTAATGGTTTTGTAATGCATTTTTAAAGGCAATGTTTATGGTTTTTAACCAATCAAAAGCGAGATTTATAAGCCACTACCACCGTCGTTGCCACCAAACTAGATGGATCATCTCAACAAGTTATTATACATACAGAAAGTATCAGCTTTTATGCACATTTATTGAAATTTTAAACAAACCAGGAAGTAAAGAGCTTTGAGATTCAAGTATTTTTCACACTGTGTTTTTTACGATTTTTTTATGGCTCGGAAACTGAGGATTTTTCAGGGGCAATTGCAAAATGTATTCAATTTATGTCATTTCAAAGCAACTCATAAAAGAAAATATTGTTATAAGCTAAAAATTCCAATACTTGCGCTAGAATCAGTTTGTCAAAATAAACTAAAACACTAAATATTTGCACAACCAATGACAGTTTGTATTGCATTAGAAAGGGATTTTAATTTGATCCAAAACAATTCTGTCTGGTATGCATATATTTTTCTTATCAAAAAACATCTGTCAAGGCATCTGAGTGGGTGTATTTTTAGAAGCTGTCTGCCAAGACAGCTAGAGAAATTTGTGAGACATCGTGTATGGCAATAATAGACAAAACGGTAATCTCTCACTAGAGTTTCTAGACTGTTATTAGTAGGCAAGCAAGTCTGATTTGAATTACTTCTATTCTATTCCCCTTACTACATGTGATGACTTATTCTATATTCTATCCCATCCCATTCCTTTCCTATTCTATTCTATTCTATTCTATTCTATCAATACATTCTATCTTATTTTATTCTATTTATTTAAATCAATTTCGTTTTGATTCATTTGATTCATTTTTTATTTATTTCATAAATCTAAAGGCACCTCCATTTTCTTCCAGGTGACTCGTGGCTTCTTGGCTGTCAAATGGAAGCGATGCAAATAGTCCAAGACCCATTACATAATCAAATTGTTCTCGAAAAACAAGTTGTCGATGGCGAAACTTTGTTGGACGGATCAGAGACCGAGTCCTCTGATGTACTCACCTTAGGGAGTCTGTACGTACAGGATCTGCCAAATGGTTACATTCTGCCCGAGAGACCATCCTCCTTTAATCCCAAGGCAAAGTTCCTGAACGATGAGCGATATTTTATTCATGATTTCCCACCCTGGCCTCTATTTTACATAGAGCGGCTAAAGCCAATCCAACTGTGTCTAATTGCAGGGAACGAACTGCCGATTCTCGTGCGATATAAACCAGGGGAACAGTTGAAGAAACACTGGAGAAAGTGGCTGCCATTCTTTCCTGATGCTGATACTCGTGACTTAGTTACCGAGGACACTGGTGATAGTAAGTTTGTTACTCTATATCCCTTGCAGTGGCTTGCGAGAGGAAAACATGGTGTCGATCCAGATGTTCATCACAAGATGCTCAACAAGAATACCATCCCAGAAATGGGTGCCAGTTGCCCAATCCACATGAGTGTGAATGACTATACCGTGCCGTGTATGATCAAAGCAAGCCATGGGCTGTCGGGAAGAGGGACCTACATGGCCAAAACAATGAATGAAGCAGAGAAAATTATCCATAAATTGAAAGATGAGGCACGATGCTTTGATCCAAGTATCTCTGAAGTCATTGAAGAGTTAACGGGAAATTACTGTGTTCAGTTTTATCTGTTCAAAACTGGTGAAATTCGTTGGCTTGGTTGCTCCAAGCAGGCGGTTACCGAGGACTTTAGTTGGAACGGGGGATACGTTGACTGGAACGAGCAGGAATACCTCAAAGAGACCTTCTTGAGAACTGTGACGCCTGTTAGAGAATATCTACACAAGAATGGCTACTTTGGGGTCGTTGGAATCGATGTTTTGACCAGTAAAGAGGGGCACTTTGTAGTAGATGTCAATCCCAGGATCAATGGAAGTACAACACTGCTATTGATCGCCCCCCACATGGCAGTCAAGGGGTTCCCCTCCTCTGCTCTCCTCAAAATCCCCAACATTAAAGGCAACGAAATCGAAATGATGGAAATGTTTGACAAAATTAACTCACTAGGGGAGGGGATCGTCATCAACTTGGCAAGTGTAGAGTCTCCGGATGGACGAACCTGCGAAGGACATGTCTGTATGTTTTCCAAAACACAGAGAGGAGTTATGGATCTTAAAAGCCTCATTATCAACCAGTAATTATTCTCTGTTTATATGCTGTAAAAAAATTTATAATTTGTTGTTAAATGCCC